AAAGAATAATAATACATAAGAATAGGAGATTAGTCTATTGTAAAATAGATTACACTTCAGATAAGTCAATTACATCAAGAAGAGTTTCCATCCAAGCACTGGCCACCACTACAAATAAAAACAATCAACTAAAATAGTCAACATTTCTTCACTTATAGTCTAACCTGTATAAAAGACCAGTGTGTGTGTGTGTGTGTGTGTGTGTGTCACATCACGCTTGATTTCTCAAAATAGGACGAGTCATAAAAGCCAAAATGCATCTATCCAGATAAAATAATTCAATTACTGTCTGCCCATTATGATTTTAGTGATGGGGGTGCAAGGAGGACATGAAACCTTATAAGTATAGTGAGTGTTGGTATAATAAGCCTAAAGACAGAGTGGAATCACCTAGCTTAAAGCATAAAATTTATCATGAATGTACAAATAGATTCAATTTTCAACTGAAAACAGTTTCTGAATTAAGCTATTTTTTGTTCTAACACCAACATTTTAAATAAAAAACCAACCTCTTTAATCAACAGACTCTAAATTAAGAAATCAACAAATATTTTTCCAGTTTTGTTGTCTGTACATTTCATTTTATACTTTCAGTACACAGACTAACAACAATATTAGGTTATACGTTTGCAATGAGCAACATTACATAGAAGCCATTGTTGGAACATAGTGTTACCAAAATGCACTGGCTTTTCTATACAAGTTATCAATCTAACTGATTTTTACCAATAATTATTCTATGAATATACCACAAGTTTATTTCATGAATGATCTTAACTTTGATTGTCTCATAAAGGAATTTACCGATGTTTGTTTGCCTTGACTGCACTTTTCTGGCTCTTTGTTGGTCAAGCTTGATTTCACAAAATTTATCTATTTCAGTTAGCTATGAAATGTGAGGTTAAGGTATACTATGGGGTGGGGGAGGTGGTACTTGCCCCATCATTTCTGATGGGCTATACACTAGCATGAAATAAAATCATGCATTGCATCAAAAAAAAAAGTGACACATTTTCAACATTATCATTTCGATAGATGCACTTGGAAACTTACTGAAAGTTTGTTATCACACTAGTAATTATGACTACTGCAAAAGTAAAACAAAATTTGTCTACAGTTTAAGGTGAAAACAGTAAACATATGACTAACTAGTCATTATAAACACAGATGATACAGACAATCTGACAGATATTAATATAATAGGGTGAGTGTGGGTGTTGGGGTAGGTAGATAAGAGGGAGATGAATCAAACTGCTTCACTTTAAATATGTTCTTTACGATACAAGTTTTTAACATTGACATATTTGATACTAGTGTTAACAACAAACGCAAGTTTAAAACAATTACTTATTCCTGTGTCTGCATTACATACCCACATATACCTGATATCTGTGATATGTCAACTTAATCTAATTTTGCATACAATGTTTAATGTCTGTAGTCTAGAATGGTTATGACTAAACATCCTTACCAGGATCTCTGCTCTCAACAAATGACAGAATTCCTTGCAGGAACGTTTGAGTAAAAGTATTAGAAGGAACAAACTCTTGACTGAACAAAGATAGGAAAGGTGTTCCATCACCAAGTCTGTCTTCATGAGGGGGTGACAATACCACTTCAGCCTGCAAACAATTTATTCCTCAATTTCCAACACACTATGAGCTTTAAAATAATTTTAAAAAGTTATAACAAACTGATGAGAAATATATAATGTCTTACCCAATGTACACATTTGGTACTTGTGTTTTAGGATAATTTCCTTTATTGCTTGTTTGAAGTTAAGCACAAAGCTACACAATGGGCTATCTGCACTCTGCCCACCATGGGTATCAAAACCCAATTTCTATGATTTCCTTTACATTTTAAATTAAGTTTTATATCTCAGAATGTCACTAAAGTGTTTTCATCTTTCAAAGAGCTTAGCACGAGTACTAAGGCTTTATTAACCACACAATTATAATAAACTTTTTCATAAACATTCATGTCCACTTAAATAATAAACAGTACAAAATTCACAAGTAATTCACACAGTAAAACTAAAACTGATGAAATTAAATAATCTACAATTTGATTCTTATTTTAAAGTGATGGATATTTTTTATTCAATTCCCATAACATAAGACAGATTTCTTATATTTAAAGTAGTAATGCATGTGACAAGAGAGGGATTTCTTTTGTAACAAGGTATTATTTTGGAATACAAATATTCAACACTTCATATTTTTTAGAAATAATAAAACTAAGTTTTAAAAAACAGTTTATATTCTCCAATATTAATGAGCCATTTATTAGTTTCATAAATATTAAATCTTTTCTTTGTTACTCTGAAAAGCATTTGTCATTATTTGGAGAATATCTCGATACTTTGACCTTAATTTTGAGTTTAGATTATAGATTTACCTGGGCATTTGGAATATTACGGATCTCATCAATTTCTTTCACTTCTAAATTTCTCAGTCTCTGCTCTACTTGGTCAGGACTGCAGGAATAAAAACAGATGAAAAACTATATTACCTTCTTCTGGATGATAAAGAATAGAACTTAACAATCTAGTATTATATTTTCTATAAGCTTGAAAAATCAATACTACGTAGTGGTGTTTTTAACAAAGCCGAATGTTGTAAATCAGTAATGAACAATAGCGTTTTGCTGCATGTACCAGTACAAAACTTGCTTCTTAGACAGAAGTAATAAGCACTTCTTATATAGATCTTCCTATCATTATTACAAATCTTCACCATGACCCCAGCTCTCAGTACAACTTACCATCTGTAACTAATCATTGTGAACTAAAAACTATCTTGATGACAGACTGACAACTGATTAACTTCAAACATATCCTTACTTGCACGAGTTATACAGGCTTCATGGAGATTAATACTCTGTTAATTAACTTCTTAAAAAAAGTTTAAGTTTCAATTTGTCAGTCCTTGGAAGTGGAAATCAATAAAAGAAAGTACAAGTAAAGAATATTGCACGGAGTGCATTAAAAGAATTTCTCGGAAATTTACTTACTTATTCTGCTAATTCAGTGAACTAGTCAAATGAAAAAAAAACTCTTTACACAAATCTAATTTATCAAAAATAAAAAAAGAGTAAATTTTAATATGGCCCATATGCCAAACATCAACGTCATTATTCATACAAACGCTTATAATTACAGAATGCTTCCCCATTAGTGACTGTATTTAAAAGCTCTGTAACTATAAGGGAATATTAAACATGAAAGAAAAAACGTTGAACAATAAATAATTATTTCCTACTCCTTAGAGTGTGTTCAATAACTGGTTTCATTTGTTAATCTTTCAACTGAAGTTTTAATAAATTATTTTGAAATACATAAGTTGTCTCTTAGTGTTTTCTTTAGTTAGTAAGACTAATAATCTGACAGATTACAAAGTATTTGTACATCAGGATAAGCCAGCCAGATTCAAGAAAGTTTGGCTGTTATGATAAACAATCCTAGATCCCTAAACTGTTGTTTACTGACATCAACACTTTAGTTTCTTCTTTAAGAGTTTGGTGTAATTACTAAGAAAGATAAATCAAATTCCTTAAAAACTTAGCTATTAACATCAATAACTCAGATTCTTATGTGTTTGGTAAGATGAATTAAATTCAAAAGTAATTCACTATTTCTTGTAATTACTTGTTTCCAAATGGCGGTGGTTGGGCCAAAATCTTTACTTTTGTTTTAAAGACACACATGAAAAAAACGTCTACAAGAGCCTAATAATGTTGTTAGTTACAAACCACTTAACTACAATGTTGATGGTATGGAAGGCAAAAGCAAAATGCTCTTAAAAATACAAGTTTTACAGGTTGCTTTCACATTCACGTACATGTACTTCAATAGTGAAACATGATCTTATCAAAGATAGTAGTTTAATAGTACAAAAGAAAATCTGGTCCATAGAATAGGCTTATTATCTTAGCTACATAGTCATTGAAATACACATATTAAACCTATTGATTTATATAAGAAAAACATCTAGCAGTACATTGATAAAATAATTACATTAAACAAATGAACACCATACCGTACTAAGAAAAACACACAAAAAAAACAGCTCCTCACAGATATCTGTAGCCGTGTAATATACACAGAGATCTGTAGCCGTGTAATATACACAGAGATCTGTAGCCGTGTAATATACACCGTATACACAGAGATCTGTAACTGTGTAATATACACCGTATACACAGAGATCTGTAACTGTGTAATATACACCGTATACACAGAGATCTGTAACTGTGTAATATACACCGTATACACAGAGATCTGTAACTGTGTAATATACACTGTATACACAGTTCTTCACAGAGATCTGTAGATAATCAGGGGCAAAGTCCTTATATTTAGGGAGGTGCATGACTAAATTTTGTCGACAAAATAGTGTGCTCCGAATAAAATAGTCAGAATTTTTGTGCATTCTTAAAAGGAAAAAGTGTGGACGAAGATAAACCTATCAGAACTGTTGGCAGACTAGTGTGCATTGCACAATTCAATTAGGAATTTTAATCACTATTTGCTACAAGACATTTGTCAAATTTTTCTCAGCATTTTTTTTTTGTTTGTTTGCCTATAAATCTGTTGCAACAAAAATTATTTATTTTTTCATAAGATTTCTCCCTCTAGGTAATACACAGTGTGTAGATATAGCTGTTTTTAGAGCACTAATGGTCTGTCATATACACTATACAACTACAGTTCTTTCCAGAGATTTATAAGCACGTGCTGTACACTGTATAAATATACTTGTTTCCAGGGCCTTATTGGTGTGTCATATACACTATATACATACAGTGGATGTGTAGTACCCACCTGTTTATAATCAAATCTACAGGTGTACAAGAAACACCAGGTGGGTAGCATGTATTACATCACTGAAAGTTCTGGTAAAGTACAAATCAGACTGGAAAATGTTGGTTGGTTGGTTTGTTCATTCATTTGTTAGAGTGTGTGTGTGTGTGTGTGTGAGATAAACTGATAGAACATCAATTAAAACTATAGTAACTACTAATTAAAGTTAACAATAAATAGAATCTCTCAACTGTTCATTAAAGTTAAAAACTGAATGATGTTTAATGTGGTAACAGAATCTGTCAACTGTTCGCTAAAGTTAAAAACTGAATGATGTTTAATGTGGTAACAGAATCTGTCAACTGTTCGCTAAAGTTAAAAACTGAATGATGTTTAATGTGGTAACAGAATCTGTCAACTGTTCGCTAAAGTTAAAAACTGAATGATGTTTAATGTGGTAACAGAATCTGTCAACTGTTCG